AATTAGTTAAGAAGTAGGAAACTCAGAATTAATGGCCAAGTTCAACTTGACTTCAGCCCTTTGAAGATGTCTTCTTTTTACAAGACAAGTGGCATTGGATATTGTCTTATAGGAAAGAGATTCTTTTTAGGCAAAAACTTATTTTTACTCTTAATGATGTTTTGAGGGTTGGGGTATAACTCAGTGGTTCAGCAGTCATCTGGCATGCACAAGGCATTGGGTTTGATTCCTCCTCCCCCCAAAAAAAATCCCCCAAGTTTTAAAAGCTTGTACTAAAACCTCATGAGGAAATTATCCATTTCTTTCTCTATTTAAAGCCTTACTGCCAGCTAAAGGCTGAGAAATTTTCATTAGAAAAAAATTCAGCGTCTTAAATTATAAGTAAATAACAAAATACAGAAGTAGGCACTTGCATGAAAAATTTGGAAGGTATGGAGTCACAACTGAGATTTACTGTCATGGTGTAAAGGAGTCCAAAAATCATGCCCCCTGTTCCTTATTCAAGTTCAGAGCCACTGAAGATGTAAACCAAGGAATCATCTGCTAGAATTTACTGCATGCTTTTTCATAGGTAAAATATACAGCGAAAGACTGTTTGCATAGTCCCATGGAACTGCTAATACTTCACTAGTGAATTGCTTATTTCCAAAATTTTTCACTGGCTCAGCTGGAGAGCCAAGGGTACAGAGGAACAGAACCCAGAGGGGTGGAGAAATGCATATCCAGTTTCCTCTTTATTTATCCAACTTTCTGTTTACTTTTTGAGATGGGGTTCTCACTGTGTTGCCCAGGCTGCTCTCAAACTCCTGAGCTCAAATGATCTTCCTCCCTCAGCCCCCCAAGTAGCTAGAACTCTAGGCACACACCACAACATGACCCTTTGTTAATTTATTAATCCCATCAATTTCCTGTCTTGGAGAATGGTGAGGGACAGTTGCCAAGTGTGGAGGTAGAAAAAGGCTGGAAGTGTCTCTGTGACTGGAATTCCTCCACAATTAAGCTTGAGGCTATAGGAAGGGAGTTCTTGCCCCAGTCCTTTTCTTTTTCCAGTGTGATTGTTAAAAGTTGAGATTTGATTCACATACACTCAGGTGATGGATTTTAAATGTACTATTATATAAGTTTTGATGTACTTATGTAGTCACCACTCCAGTCACAATATGGAATATTCTAACACTTTATTCTATAAATGGATTTACAGTAAGATTTCTTTTAAGTACTTACCTCTTAGTTCCTTTAACATGCTCCAAATCTAATTTATCTTCATTTGTCTCTGGATGAGAACTTTAATGAACTTTTACCAAAAAAAGTTTTCACATCATTAATAAGCAAATGATAAGCAAATGATTATTTCCGTGGAGAAACTGAATGATTTTTTTAACATATTAGGATTTTTCAAAATGGGTTGTTCTACATAGATTTTAGTTATGTATTTTATATTCTTAAATGTTTAAGTGACAGGGCATGCTTGTAATCCCAGCACTTAGGAGTCTGAGGCAGGACGATTGTTTGAGGCCAGCCTGGACTTATATACGTAGTGACACCCTATCTCAAAAAAACAAACAAAAAATGCTTACATCAGATTCCTTGATCTCGTCCTGTCTTAAAATTTAAGATTCTGTATTTATATTTCTGATAATAGGGAGTCCACAGTAGATAATTAACACATAAAACTTCCTTTCCACTAGGCGCCAGTGACTCATGCCCATAATCTTAGCTACTCAGGAGGCAGGGATCAGCAGGATCACAGTTTGATGCCAGACTGGGCAAATAGTTCTCGAGACCCTATCTCGAAAATACCAAACACCAAAAAAAGGCGAAAGGGGATTGGGGCTGGTGGAGTGACTCAAGGTGTAGGCCCCCATTTCAAGCCCACTACCTCTCCCCCCGCAAAAAATTCCTTTCCCTTCCCCATTGGTACACTTTGGCCCTTTAATTATATGGTACAAAAGATGGGAACTGTACAGCTTTCAGAAAATAAAGAATTCATGTTTAGTGTACCCTTCCTATGTGCTAGGTGATAGGTGTACAATTGCTATAATAAACAAGGTATCCATATAGTAGAGTAGGGACTGTATGCTAATAATTTAAAAAGCATTATTACAGATTGTGAGTAGTATTGTTAATGTTAGGTGGATTGATGAAGAATGACCCTGAAAAATTAAGAAAGAGAGAAGACTTAGGTAGAATGAAGTGGTGACATGTAGAGTGAAACCTGATGAGAGGAATGTCAAGTTCAGACCTCTGGAGGTGAGATGAAGGCAAGAAAAAAAATAAGGACCTAGCTGCCAATATATAGGTGTCTGCAGAGCAGGACAGAGGTACCTTTGATAAAGTTAGAAAGCAAGTTGGGAGAAGAGTTAATTTAGAGAGAAGGTGATATATTTAGTTTTGGATCTGCTTAGTTTGTCATGATGGTGAGGTATCTGGGGAGACATGTCCTCAATGATATGAGGCCTCAGTTCAAAGAAAAAGACTAGGATTGAGTGTATGAAAGGTCATAAAGCTGTGACCACCTATGACCAGCTAAATCAGTGGTTTATGTTTACTTTGACACAATGAATTGCTTTATTTTGTAGTTTTTAAACTATTTCTTTAAACTGTTTTTATTCATTCTTCTTTATAAATGTAATACATTACATTTTCATGTTTATTTTCAAAGTATTCTCTGGTAGAATCTAACATGGTAATGTACAAATGGGTACTTATGAAGTGCACCAGGGAAGCAGTAGGGCACATGGATCAGAGAGATGCATCCTGGAGTCAAAGTTCAGTGTGCTTTGGTTTGAATCTTGGCTGTGACATTGGGATGAATTATTTCACTTCCTTTTTCCTCCTTTTGTAAACTATGTAAGAGTAAAAGGAGCCAAATAATAGCTCATTAGGGTTTTGAGGAGATCTAATAGGTAGTGCTTAGATGAAAAAACTGAGTACAAGAGTATTTTATCATCTGCCTCAGGCTTGTGTAGGCTACCTAAGGTAGTGCACTTATGGCACACAGTACTCAGTAGGTCTTAATTGGTTTTATAATGTGTTGACTGATAATTTTGATGAATTGCTATAATTTGATACTGTATATATATTACTTATACTTTATTTTTTATAAATTTTTTAATACAATAAAGTACAAATAACATACAGTATCTTCATATCTACTTACTATGGCTGAACAGGTATTTCTGAGATACAATGCTTCTACAACTTGTTTAGTTCATAGAAGACAAGAGACACATGGGTATAGTTTTTCTTTAGAAAAAACCAATTTCTCTAAATGATCTGGTTCCCCCCCCCCAAGAAAATATTAACCTTGGTTAATATTGGTTGTGAGCTATAACTTGGGATTTTTAATTAAGAATAGGTTTAGGATCACTACATTAGATACAGCCTTTATTGGGCATAACTGAAGATATTTATATTACTTGATTATTTGATAGGAATTTTTAAATCTGGTTTTTTCCCAGAAAGTAAATTATCTCCTACTTTATGAGAGGGGATTCCATCACATTTTTAGAATTGTTGAGCTAGCAATATAACAAATCTATTATGTAACTCAGTGATAGAGTCTTTGTCCAGACCTTTTGTTTGATGCCCAGCACCCCTACCCTCAACAAGAAAAAATGAACCTCAAAATTTGAAGTAAGATCCCATTGGGGGACCCAGGAGGTCAAAAGTATGCAATGATATATGTCAACATTTGGAAGATATATATACCTCAGTTACCTAATTTTAAAATGACCAATGCAAGGTAATAATTTTCTCACATACATAAATGCAAGAGACCAGTGGATTTTATTTATTTATGGCAGTACTGGGGTTTGAACTCAGGCCTTCATGCTTGCTACGTGAGTGCTGTACCTCTTGAGCCATGCCTTTAAGCCCAGAAACCAATGGATATTCTTGTAATAGTTGGAAATAGTCATTGAAACTGTTCCAAATTTCACATCACAGCTAACATTTAAAGAAATACCACTTGTAAAGTTTTAATGTATTGTCACAAAATATCCACAATTACTAAAAAGGCTATTAAGTACTCTTGTTTTCTAACTACACTTACATGTAAGCCAGTTTTTGTTTTGTTTTTTTTTAATCAAAACAAAACATAAAAGATTGAATACAGAAGCAGAGCTCTTTTGAGTCTCATATTACGGGGATTTGGAAACATGTAAAACAATGCCATTCTTGATTTTTTTTTGTTTTATTTTGGAAATAGTGATTTTTTCATTAAAAATTATGTTAACTTAAAATAGCTTTATAATTGTTATATTTGAATGAATTACTGAGACTTTCAAAGTCTCAGTTTTGATTTTTAATATGTTAAATATTAATAGAAATAATATAAACAAAAGCTCTTGGGATCTTCAATAATTTTTATTAGTATAAAGAAGCTTTGAGAATCTGTAGTCTAGAGAATTCAACATACAATTTTGGAGAGAAGCATAACTTCATAATCCAAAATGTGTATATGTTTTGACTTAAGATGTGAAGTATTTTTGAAATGACAGTGTTGGTAAAAGTAGGTTTTGTAGTCATTTTTCGAAGTCATTTTTTGGAGTCATTATTTTGGAAGTTTTAAGGACCTTCATTTTCGTTTTATGTTTTCAAAATACAATACAGAAGGCAACACGAAACTCAATTACTTGTGGAACTGTTTGATTTATTTGTGGCTATTTATTTTTCTCCACTATATCTGTTTTCCTAAACAAAATCTGTAAAGCATAAAAATATTAAGAAGGGCATTCAGTGATAATCTGGGATATTCCTGATATCTTAGTTATTTATAGAGTGAATATTTCACATGTGAGTTAAATGGACAATGTTTTGTTTAAATTTTTTGTAGTAGTACAGAGTCCAGTGACATTTTGGGATATATGAGGATGCTAATTCAGTATAGTGGGAACCTTTTGGGTGTTAGTGATCATTGTTTATCTTTCATTTGTAACATGTAATGGTTATGAAATGATGTTGATGAAGTTTCTGATTTTTATTTTTTCTGTAAACAGATAATCTCAGTGATACCTTAAAGAAACTGAAGATAACAGCTGTTGACAAGACTGAGGATAGTTTAGAAGGATGCTTGGATTGTCTGCTTCAAGCCCTGACTCAAAACAGTAAGTTTCATTATGTTTACTCAAATTCCAAATGAAGAAGAATCCAGTCAGCAGTTGTACAGTGATTGGTATGTAGTTAAGTGCATAACTTGTGTTCACATAACTTGAATTCTTTTGAATCCTATGAATACTGAGCTTGTTTTCAGTGTGCTACCCTCCTACCTACCCCCACCCCCAAGGTACTTAAAGCCAAACTGATAGGCAAAGAAAGGCAGAATTGATTGGTGGTAATGGCATTTATGCCAGTTTCCAGAGAGGGCCATTATTTCATTCCTAACAGACAAGCATCATGGTCATTTTTTTCCTTACCACCTACATTTGTGCTTTAAAAAAGCACTTCTCACTTGTTTACAAGTGAGAAGAGTGGGGGAGAATTTTTTAAGGGGACCATTTACTTTAAAAACTGAAGAACATAAAGCTGGTACCCTTGGTCACATGGAAGGTTGCCAGTCTTGCTCTGAATAGAGTAGAAGGCAGAGAGATGAGGAAGCAAAAGTTTATGGCTTTTAAAAGAACAGATTCAAAAAATAGGGAAAAGTGTGTAACTGTTGGATTAAATTTCAGACCCATGTAGGGCTTATTCATTGAACCTATTTATTGAAAATTATCTTAAAGTTATAGATCACAGAATCTTAGAGCTTTGTAACCACAAGGTGTTCAACAGAACTACCAACATATCAACTTAACTACTTACTTCCTAGGAAGGGAGCAAAAGAAATGTCTTGTTAACAGTCTGAAACAAAAATTTTAAGTGATCTCTTGTCTAAGACCACTCACACCTAAGAAGATGACACAGGAAGAAGGAATTCATGCAGATGTTTTGTTCAGTCTTTGACTTAGGAGTTGGAACTGTCACTGGAGTAACTACTGTATGGCAGCACTGGTTTGGGGTTTATATCTAACCTTTCTTGTAGCTGCAAGAGGTAGGTCTTCTTGTCAGTATTGTAAGGATGAAGCGATGCTTTATCAAGGTTGTGTACATTGCTGCTGCAGAATCCGGTGTTTGGATATGAACTCTTAGTTAATAAAATAAAAAGTTATACTTTTTCTAATGAAGAGAAAATTTTTGCTGAAATTATACATTGCAAAATTGTTCTAAGAAACTAGGTTTTATAATATTGCATGCTAAATTTTGCTTTTTCTTTAGAGTAGGTCCAAATTTTGTTATTAGATAAGCCTTTTCCCTTGACATATAGACTGATATATTGATTTTATAGGGATGTATTAATACATTTTATAAAATTAGCATTTCTTAAACCAGAAAAAGTAAGAATATACTAGTAAGATTTTTCTTTTCTGCAGTTGTTCATACTTAATAAAGTGATTGGTCCTTTGCTACCCTGTCCTCTTAAAAGGCAAAATAATAAAACATTTAATTTAGATGAATCTCAGTTGCTTTAGTTTTTTTTTACCCAGGGTCCTGGTTTCATAATTCTTCCTTCATGTCAGGTGTTTTAACTAAAAATACAATTGTTTACATGAGAATTGCACCTGATCAAGAAAGAAACATTTCTCCATTTTAACAAATGTGAGGTGGCAATGTGTGTAATGGAAATCTAAATTTAAAATTTTATTTTACTGTGTTGGCAGGGTGGCTCAAGTGGTAAGAGTGTCTGCCTAGCAAGCGTGAGGCCCTGAGCTCAAATCCCAGTACTGCCAAAAAAATAAAAAAATAAAATAATTTTATTATCCACTAACTAGACATTGGAAAGGATATTTCTGAGGGTAATATGGTTTTTCGAATACCTATACTATGTAGATTTATAATATTTTAATTGTATATTACAAATAAGCATAATCTGAATTTTCACTTTGATATATTAGCATGGTTTCCTCCCTCCTTCCCCCATCTTTCCCCCTATCCTCACTAAATACAGTATTTCTGTCAGTTTTAACAGATAAGAGAAGATTTAAATATTTACTAGAGTTTATGGAATTCATTTTGTTTAAGCAAGCATTTTTGTGTGAATCTCTGATCTAAATTAATAAGAGGCATTCATTCACTCATAACACTTCAGATCTCACTTTTAAAATATTTTTAGTAAATATATGAAGGCCACCAGCCAAGAAATCAGCCTGTTTGTTCTGGTCTCTTTTGAGTCTCATTATAGATTCTCATTATAGATTCTTATTATAGATCCTTAGTAAATGCTGTCAGAATTCTTGTGTGTTACAGTATTTCATGCTCACTTGCAAATTTAAAACAAGCCTATTGTCTTCCTAAACCTTAAAACAGAGGTTGTTCTTAGAGAATATGGAACTTAGTCACCTTGCACAAGAAACTGCTGCCTTAACATTCTATTCATAATGAAAATTCTGTTAACTCTATTCCACTTTAAAGCATAAGACCGATTCCCCTTTGCTGGGACAACTGTAAAACAGTGCCAGCTTTTCACTGAGGTTGTCCTCCTCTACCTCCTTTTCTTACTTTCTTTTGTATTTTAACTTTACTTAATTACTTGTTTATTGTCTATAGAATAACTTTGAGAGACAATACAAATTTACTTGTCTTTAGAGAGAAAAAAAAGGTATTTAGTATCTAGTTCCACATTCCTAATCTTGCATAATACTTACTTATCTGTTGAGTTCTTAGTTCTTGGTTCTAGCCCTTGTTCTTTATTTGTTGTATTTTTGTCTTCCACATAGGCTTCATCCTAAGCATACTTCTTGAAACCCATGTAGATTTCCCAAAGTATCTTCTCTAAATGTAGGAACTTTTTGTTGCAATTTGCTTTTTAGTTTACTTTATGACTTTAATATTTCTGAACAGACTTACCTTCAAGTAACAAAAGTTACTCCCTAAGTAAGGGACTTTGAAACTTATCAACTGTTTTTGGTGGTCCTGCTAAATTTGCAATTACTTAATGTGGTGTTTGGAGAAACAAAAATTATTTTTTCTTAGTATTATCTTCAGTAGACTTTACCTTTTTATCACATAGTCAAATGCATCACGGAAATTGTTTCCTTTCAAGCTAAATTCATTATGTTGTTTCCCTTCTTTATGTTTTTTATATTATATGCTTAGTTATTGTGTCCATTGTTCATGAAGGGTCATAACTGATACTAATGACACCAAAGATTTAGTTTTTACAAAGTAAAGGTAACATTTGAAGAATATATTATACTCTCAACTAAACTCAAGCAATCAACTAAAAAAGACATTGACGCCGGGTGCCTGTGGCTCACGCCCGTGATTCTAGCTATTCGGGAGACAGAGATCAGGGGGATTGCAGTTCGAAGCCAGCCTAGGGAAATAGTTCATGAGACTCTATCTTGAAAAACCCAAAACAAAACGGGGCTGGTGGAGTGACTCAAGTGGTTGAATGCCTGTCTAGCAAGTGTGAGACCCTGAGTTCAAACTCCAGAACTGCCAAAAAGAAAAAAATAACATCCAAAGACATTGAGTTCAGACTCCTAGATTGCCAGAATCTTTCCACACATTTTCTAAAACTCCATACAAATCAGAAAGGACATCACACAAAACCAATCAACCATACGCTATACCTTCACCATAACTAGAAGACAATCTTCAAATTGTTAAGAAAAGAAATAGATACCCAAATCTAGCCTACTTAGCTTTAGAGACCACTATAGAGAGAGTTTAGTCAAGACTGCAAAGACTACATGAAAAGAGGGGAGGGGAGAGGAGAGAAAACGGAACCAAGGGTGGAAGCACACAATTAAAATTGCCTTTAGAAAGAAAAACTCCTACCCTGGTGAGAAAATTCTAAGTCTAGTATTATCCTAGCTTAGATTAGATGAGAGCCTTGGCTACTTAAAAGAACATGGGCAGGCAGGTATGGTGGAGCTTGCTTGTATTCCCAGCTAGTGTAGAGAGGGATTCTGTGCAGAAGTAGAAGGATCAGTTGAGCCCAGGAGTTCCTGACCAGCTTGGGAAACAAGGAAACTCTATCTCAAAAAAAAAAAAAAAAAGGCGCTTAGAATCCCATGTTGACAGGTCACTATCTTTGGTGATGCAAAGCAGGAAGTAAGAAGGAGAAGTGTTGTAGAAACAAGAATACCACAAAATCAGAAGACACACTAAACACCCTCTTTGGTTTCTTTTCAGAAATATGAACTTTTGAACTAAAAACCAAGGTATTCATCTCAAGTCGTTATCCTTACCACATGTAATTTTTATTACTGGCTAAGGAAAATAAAAATTACATATTGAATAGGAAGGTGCAGGTGAGATCCTATAAAGGTGCTCAAGGAAAAAAGCAGGAATAAGCAAAATATTTTAGCTATTAATTTTTTTCTTCTAAGGAAAACCCTCCATGAAGCAGTTACCAATAATAGAGCACCACAACCTGTTTTAAACATCTTTTAAGTAAGCTTTGCAGATATGAAAAATAACAACCTTTAAGTCAGAAATCCAGAAACTTAGAATTTTATACAAGGAAGATGTGAAATTAGAATTAACTAGAAGAAATTAAAGAACATGACAGCATCATTTTAGAAATTAAGACTAAATTATAAGGTGCCAAAGGAAGAATAGAGGTAACTAAAAATAAAGAGAAGAAAGGAATGAAAACAAATAAAAAAGGTCAGAAAAGAGATGATCGATATCAAAGATAGTCCTTAGGAAAACAGACAGAATGAAACAGAGGTAATATTTAGAACCACAAACTTACAGAAAGTTAAGAAAGACCAGAATTAATGTATTGAAAGGGCCCATCAGGTACTGCTAAGAATTGATCTGAATGCTCCAACTGCAATTCATAGTATAGGAAAATTCTTATGCTTTAAAGATAAAAATAAGTTAAAAGGAAAATGTTCTGGGCCTCCATGCAAAAAGATCAAGTTCGTTTAAAAAGGAAAGAAAATCAGACTGGCATCAGATTTCTCCGCAGCAATGAACATTTCATCAGTGTCACAGTATTTTCATGTAACTCGAGGAATAAGAGCTTAATAACAAACCAAGATGCTCAGTAAATATCAAAGCTGTAGAAAAACACTGTTAAACATAGAAGAACCAAGGGAATACTGTACTCATTAGC